TGCTCTCTCTCTCTCAAATAAATAAATAAAATCTTTAAAAAAAAAAAATGAGTAAGACCATCTCCAAAAAAAAAAGAGTAAATGTTACTTAATATCAATAAAATGTTGCCTCGCCTTTACATTTCCTAATAGTATCCAAGTTTTGCTAAGAGCAATCACGTAAATCACTACATTTTCTGGTCTTTTTGCTGGTAAAAGATTCCCATCCCCCCCTTTTTTTCCTTTCTCCTCTAAGTTTACTTTATTTAAAATCCTGTAAGGCATTTTTAGGGAAAGTTTAGAAATTTCAGCTTTTCAGATTTTATTACAATACACATCTCCTTTGAAGTCCCTTTCTCTTTCCTTCGTAAATCGTAGGATTGGGGTTTTAGACCTTGGTCATAACAGAAAGACAAAAAGAGCATTTTCTTACCCTAATAGAAGTCATTCTTTGCCTCTCATACTCTCAAATAAGTCAGTCTTACGCAGAAGATTTTAGGTATAAAAACACTATTTTACTTTTGTCTAAAATTCATCTCAGCTCAGGACTTTTGTCCATTTTTATTTGAGTTCTGATTTAAAAGTTGTCCTGGCGCTGTTTTGAGAAAGGATGATCAACTAGATAGTCTAGCTTCTTCCTCCAGGTTGGAACTCAGATATGCTCTAGTCCTAGGGCCTGACCGTACAGATGGTGACGTGACACTTTCTATACCTAAGTGAGCTTCTCACGCTGGGACCCCAGGCACTGTTCCCTGTAGGAAACAGCCCACAAGGCCGGTGATGGAGTGGGGAGTGCTCAGCCAGCAGCCCTGCTAACTCTGGTAACTGTCTTGTCTCTCTCTGTCCCCAGTTGCCCAGCCCATCCTAATCCCCTCCCTCGCCCCAAGGTCAGTGGCATCAAACAGCAAATCCCGGGGGGCATGAGGTTGCACACCTCCTCCACCCAAAGAGAAATGGATGCGCTTTTCTTCTTACAAACATGACACAATGCCCATGACAGCCAAGGCTTGAGAGCATCAGAATTACACTAAATGGTAGGCCTTAAAGATAATCTCTAACTTCCTGAATGAAGTGCAATTCATTAAAGAATGACAACGAATGAAGCAAACTCACTGCTTTTTGCATCATTTGAACTGGATGCTTCCAACGAGCAAAAGTAACTGAAGATGGGGTGTCGGTACAAATTGAAAGTGAAAACCTGATAGTTATTAAGCCCATCACAGCTACCTTGGGCTTGTCCTCATAGGCTGAGAGGGGAGGTGGGCTACACAGGACTGAGGGAGGGTGGCTTTTTTTTTTTATTTAAGATTTTATTTATTTATTTGAGAGAGAGAGAGAGAGCATGAGCTGGGGAGAGGGGCAGAGGCCGAGGGAGAAGCAGACTAGTTGCTGAGCAGGGAGCCTGGGCCAGGACTTGGTCCCAGGACCCCGGGATCATGACCTAAGCCGAAGGCAGGCGCTTCACCGACTCAGCCACCCAGGCGCCCCGAGGGCGGCCTTCTTAAGGAGCCAAGAAATTCCTTTAAAAAATCAGAACATCTGAAACCAGATAGCCAGTTTCCTTACTGGGAGGCAGTTGCCGCCTGACAAAGGCAGTTTGACAGGAAGAAAAGTTCACTCTCCAACGGAAGCCAGCGGAACGGAGCAGATAGGCCAGAAGTTCTGGGAGGGAGGACAACCCGGACCCAGCTCCAGTGTGGGCATTAGGTGTCAGCCACCTGGTGCAGGACACACAGGTCTGTGCCTGGGGTCCCAGCGTGAGAAGCTCACTTAGGTACATTTTCAGTACTGCTCAGGATTTACCGGGGCACTTACTGAGTTAACGCCCACATCAGGGGAAGTATCCTAGAGTATTTTCTAGAACACTTTTATGCACACCGTCCCAGCTCTGTATGGATGTGTGGCCAGTGGGTCGTCCTTTGCAGTAAGCTGTGACAGTTGTCTTGCTGTATGAGTGTGAGAAAAAGAGTGTGGAGTTCAGCTATTCCTCAAGAAAGTTGAGCGGGGGTGGGGTGGGGAGGCATTATTATATTCCTTTTCTCCCTTCTAGCCTCTCAAGTTTCAAAATGAAGATGAGAAAATGAGAACTTTAAGACTAGAAAGTCTGTTATTAAGAACACGGGAAAAACGGGTCAAAATGAATCAGATTATCTGTTGTGGAATTCTGTTGGACACAGAACAGGTGGAAAGTCATTGGTGTATGTGTCATGAAATTGTATTCAGGAGCTCGAAAAGCAGATCTCAGAGACGCTTGCTGTCAGTTCATAGTTTGCAAATGAAGTTTGTGACGTTTAGGATCACAGAGTATTGGCACTTAAAGATGATGCAGTCTGAAATCCTGACATCACGACCCTGTAGGGACACAGTCACACCTGAAACCAGAGTTCCGAAAAAATTTATTTTATTTAAATAAAATTCATTCTAGAGGTTTCTATTCTGTTATATCCTGTTAATTAAAACGTGCTGGTCATGACTTCTAAGTGACAACCTGTAGTTTGAAAAGCCCTGGGAAGAAGCAGAGTTTGGTGAAATGTCAGGAGTGTCCTGTTCAGATCCTTTCTGGTTTTGCCAGAACATTCTGTGTCTTCAACGCGGTGAAACCAGCAGGGTGGGCTCCTGATGGCCAGACTAGCAGGTGGCTTTGAGGCCAGTGGGCTGAACGCTGGCCCTGCCCTTACTTGGGGGTGGCCCTGCGCCTCAGTTTCCTCTTCTGTAACATCGGGGCCAGTCACCTCAAGGGCTGCTGGTTGGACCCATGTTTGGGAAGAGCCTGGCACACAGTGGGCATTTCCCCTTCATAACAGTGGCTATCATTTTTACTAACATGGCGCTGATGGCCGTAGAGGATGGATGCTCTTGTGGGGTGTGGGCGTGGGTGGTTTCCTAACTTGCAGGCTTCTGCCCCTACCACCCTGCCTGCATACTCTTGGCCCACCGTCATTGCCAGTTCTACTCGTCCGACACGTCCTGGCCCAGTGCAGCTCATCTGCCTGCAAGAAGGACCTCCTTTGGTGCTGCTCCTTGTAATGGATCCTCTGAAGCTAGTGACAGCTCAGGAGGGAAAAACCCTCTCATTGCTGGCCCTGGCCTGGGATGCTTCAGTCCCTTGGGCTAATCTGCTTCCTCACTTGGTTCCTTTCTGCGTGTTCTTTAAAGATCTGCCAGAGGGAACTGACTTCAGTCATAATGTTTCTGTTCCATTCTAATGCTGTTTCCTCCCACCCTCTCTGCCCTGTTAGGAGAGGTCTGGGGGCTTTAGGGGGGGGCATGACAAATGGCCCCCCTCAAGCCTGGTCTGGCCCCGGGTCACCTCTGTCCTGCCCAGTTGGCCGCCTGCCCCCTGCCCCCTGCCCACCACGGCCCCCGCCGGAGCCCTCTGTGCTTGCTGCTCCGCTCTCTGCCTGTGGGGTTGGCTGAGGATCCACCCCGAGGCAGCGGATGTCCCCGAGGGGGAAAGGTCCTGGAGCTCAGACAGGGCGATGCCTGCCCTTCTACTGTCCCACGACCAGATCTCAGGACCGTGAGTGGAAAAAAACAGTAAAGCCCGGGAGGAGAAGGCTGTTCAAAGCCTAGGAAGTTGCCAGTAATGCTGGGTCCCCTTGTAGGTGCCACAAGAGGAAGCCTTCATTATATGTCTCTCCGGGGCCAGGCGCAGAGCATTGGCTCTTCCAAGCGGGGCCTCGAAGGACGCCGCCGGGCCCCGACGGTTCATCGCATTTTACAGATGAGGGAGAGGCTCAGAGAGGGTCCATGACAGCCCTAGGCCGCACGGTTGATGATTTTCCCGGGTTGGCATGCAACCCAGACCTGCGAGTCTGAAGGCGCGTCCGTCTGGTTCCCTGCCGCGTGCCTTCTCAGCTATGGGAAGAACACGGTGTCAATCACTCTGAGGCCCCTCCCACTTCCGCTGCTCCGGGGAGGGCGGGGTTGCTCCTCCTCTGTGACCTTGCCGCCTGGCCCTGGCCCCCCCAGCTCTTCCCCCCCCCC